TTGAACCCCCAAAATATAATCAATTATGAGTCAATAAAAATTAAAATTAAAAAAAAAAGATATTTTCTTTCTTTCCTTAAAAAAAAAAACATGTCAAAGGAAATTTAGAAAATACTAACAATAAAGATAAGAAAAATATTACTTATTGTTATAACTAAAAATAACTTCTTTCGGATATATTTATTTCTTCTACATCTTTTAATAGGCATGTATATTTTTTCCTCTGAAAAATGGAAATACATTGTACATTTTGTTTTGTAGCTACCAAAATTAGGAATATCTTTCATTTCTGAGCTAAATTTTATACTTTGAAATTTTTTATAATTTGAAAATTTTTTTAAATTGCATTGAGAAGAAGGAAATTTCAGGAGAGCAGATGACAGAGACTGTCCCAAGGGTTCATTGTCCTATTATTCCCTATAAAATCCAGTGCAACATAGGAGGAATAGATAAAGAAAATGTGATAGAGAGAGATATGATGGAATATTGTTCAGACTTAAAAAAGTGTGGGGAATCCTGTCATTTGGGGCAATATGAATAAACCTGGAGGACATTATGCTAACTGATACAAGACAGACACAGAGTGACAAATACTGCATGATCTCACTTATATGTGGAATCTAAAGAAGTCTAAGTAACTCATAGAAGCAGAGAGTAGAATGGTGGTTTCCAGGGGCCTAGGGGTTGGGGTGGGGAATGGAGAGATGTTGGTTAAAGGGTACAAAGTTTCAGTTAAACAGGATGAATAAGGTCTGGAGATCTAATGTACAGCATGGTGACTCTAGTCAATAATTCTGTATTGTACAAGGGTACTTCAAAAAGTTCATGGAAGATTCATATTATCTTTTAATTTTGTTTTCCACAAACTTTTAGAAGTACCCTTGTATACTTGAAATTTTCTAAGAGTAGATTTTAAATATTCTCCACACACACACACACACACACACATACAAACTTTTAGAAGTACCCTTGTATACTTGAAATTTTCTAAGAGTAGATTTTAAATATTCTTCACACACACACACACACACACACACACACATTCTGTATTGTACAAGGGTACTTCAAAAAGTTCATGGAAGATTCATATTATCTTTTAATTTTGTTTTCCACAAACTTTTAGAAGTACCCTTGTATACTTGAAATTTTCTAAGAGTAGATTTTAAATATTCTTCACACACACACACACACACACACACACACACACACACACAGTGGTAACTGTGATGTGATGGGTATGTTAATTGGCTTGTTTATGGTAATCGTTTCACAGTATATACATGTAAAAACATCATGTACACCTTAAATATATATAGTTTTTGTCAATTATTCCTCGGTAAAGCTGGGGGGGAAATTTCAGTACCAAGCAGTAACCCCCATGGCTAAGGATGGGAATCTTTAATCATCTGAACTGATCAGGACCCCAAAACAGGCTTAGTTAATAATGTGAGGATAGGTATATAGCAAATATTGGTAAGATGATTTTGTGTATGAATGGGCATTTAAACCAAGTTTGGGGGTGGCTGTCTTTTCATAGCTTTTGTCATAGGATGTAGAAATTTTGGAACTCAATTATTGCTTTGCTATTAATCTCTGAAATTTTTGATACATTATCTTTGAGTATATTTTTGTTCTTTGTAACATGGCCATATTGAAGAGATGATCTAATCTGTGATGGCTGAGTCAGGGTATAAGGAGGTTTTTCTGTATCTTTGGAGTATATTTAATTTAATAGTTTTTATCTAAAAGTGTGTTTTGGTCAAGACATTGGTTGTATTCATAGCTGTGTCTATTTTGTCCACAGTCCAAGCTCACCTTAACCCCATGGGTTGGCCTTCGGAAGATTAATGTGTCCTATTGGTGCTGGGAAGATATGTCCCCATTTACAAATAGTTTACTGCAGTGGATGCCATCTGAGCCCAGTGATGCTGGATTCTGTGGAATCTTGTCAGAACCCAGTACTCGGGGTTTGAAGGCTGCAACCTGCATCAACCCACTCAATGGTAGCGTCTGTGAAAGGCCTGGTAAGTACACGGGTGAATGAGGTGCTATGGGAAGTTTATTGAGAGAGAGACCATAGGAGGCTTAGTTAAGTACTGAGTTGTGTGAAACAGTCCTGAAAACAGATGGAGTATTGATTTTGAGCATATGAAGCAGAGTATAACCCCGAATTTTAAAAGTAGCAGGGAATAGTCTGTGGCTTGAGCCATAAGCAAAATAAAAAAAAACTGACACTAATCAAAAAACCTAATATTCTAATTAACAATGAGATTGATTGGTTTGCTGACCACAAAAAGTGTTAACACTTGCTCTTAAAGGCAAATTTCTTGGTGTGTGCAGACAAATACTGTGGAAGAAAACAAAAAAGGAAAATAAAAACAAAGAAAAGATTAGAAAAGCAAGCAAATCACTGCAGGGACATTGTTCAGAAAGAGAGTCAGTAGGGAGAAAGCTGATGAGAGGAGTTCTGTGACACGAGACAGGCCCAGGGCCAGCCTCTGCTGCACACAGTCAAGCCCAAGGCAAACTTTCTCCTCCTGCAGAGGGACTCACAAGCAATAGGTGGCACTGTGGGTTGTTTGGGGAGGCTGGACTCCAATTACATGATGTCCAGTTTTAGGAAGGTACTGTCAGTTGTCTGAGGAATACAGAGGCATAGAAGAGAATTTATAGCATCCTAGGAGTCAGCACCACAACCCACACTTGAAAAGTCTGACGTTAGCTGACATGGTGGGAACTCTAAGTATCTCTCTTGGGTTTAATTCCCAGCGAACCACAGTGCCAAGCAGTGCCGGACGCCGTGTGCCTTGAGGACAGCATGTGGAGAGTGCACCAGTGGCAGCTCCGAGTGCATGTGGTGCAGCAACATGAAGCAGTGTGTGGACTCCAATGCCTATGTGGCCTCTTTCCCTTTCGGCCAGTGTATGGAGTGGTATACAATGAGCAGCTGCCCCCGTAAGTAACAAAGTGAGCTCTAGGCATTCACAGGTGCCCTGTTTGTGGATGACAACTCTTGCCCTGGGGCCGTGCTCTCAGCCTCTGAACATTTTAGGGACAAGACCAGACTTGACCTTCTGCTCAACTCTCTCCTGCCTAATGAGAACCTTCATACAGAATCAAGTACAGTGACACAAATAAATCAATGTAGGATAGTTCACAGAGTACAGAAATAACTTGGCCAGCTTCAGGGTCATATGGTTCAATCCATGTAATGTCTCCATGTCTTAATCTCTTAATTTGTAAAATAAATATTTTCCAATAGATGACCTCTAAAGGCCCCTTCTGCCTCCAGCATTCTAGGATTGAGAGAAAAGGAAAGGAATCCCTAATATATGCTGGGCAAAAATATTGGGCTCTTTAAATTTATTATTTCATTTAAATGATCATGATAGAATAGTAATTTTGACTCACAGAAGTTAAATAGTCTATTAAGAAAAAGGTAATTTAAATACATGAATACAACTTGTTTTTTTTTTTTAGCTGAGAATTGTTCAGGCTACTGTACCTGTAGTCATTGCTTGGAGCAACCAGGCTGTGGCTGGTGTACTGATCCCAGCAATACTGGCAAAGGAAAATGCATAGAGGGCTCCTATAAAGGACCAGTGAAGATGCCTTCACAGGCCTCTACAGGAAATTTCTATCCGCAGCCTCTTCTCAATTCCAGCATGTGTCTGGAGGACAGCAGATACAACTGGTCTTTCATTCAATGTCCAGGTAAGATGTCTTGTCCAAATTCATGTGTTTTGCTACCTATTGCTTTTTTCTTTTTCTTTTTTTTCCCCAAGTCCAAAAACCATTCGATTCAATTTAAAGAAAATCTCTCATGAAGTCTTTTTTTTTTTTTCGTGTCTGGCAATGGATCGCAACCCTCAGTGTCGCGCCCACACCGGACTGGGACCGGCAACGGGATCGCAAACCTCTGTGCCGCGCCCGCACCTCGCTCAGCCAGTGAGCAGGAACCAGTCTGTATGTGGGATCCGAACCCTCGGCAGGAGCGCCGCCACGCTCCCAAGCGGCGCACTGTAGCAGTGCGCCACCGGGCCGGCCCTCTCATGAAGTCTTTTTTTTTTTTTTTTGTGTCTGGCAATGGATCGCAACCCTCAGTGTCGCGCCCACACCGGACTGGGACCGGCAACGGGATCGCAAACCTCTGTGCCGCGCCCGCACCTCGCTCAGCCAGTGAGCAGGAACCAGTCTGTATGTGGGATCCGAACCCTCGGCAGGAGCGCCGCCACGCTCCCAAGCGGCGCACTGTAGCAGTGCGCCACCGGGCCGGCCCTACAAGTACAACCTTGAAAGCCATGTTGTTTGTGTAGATTTCCTTTAAGAAAAAAATATAAGTAGCAGATCATTTTAGGAGAAATAGTTTCATGTGAAAAATATTTTTAATGTCAGTTAATGAAAATATTGAAAACTTCCACTGAGTTATTTTGCTAATCTTTGTTATAAAATAATATATGTTCATTATAAAAAATTAAATATTACACATGTATATAAAATAAAAACTGGCATTTTTTTTCTTATCTCCAGTTCTTCATGAAGGTAAAAACTTTTAACAGTTTGATACAGATACCTGCAGACATGCCAATTTATATTTTTTAAAATAAAAAGTATTATGCTATATACTATGCATATTATATATATTGTTCTACAGTTTGCTTTTTACTTTTTTTTTTGTCCTTTTTGTGACCGGCCACACCGCGCTCAGCCAGTGAGTGCATTGCACTGGCCGTCCTGTAGGATCCGAACCCGCGGCGGGAGTGCTACTGCGCTCCCAGTGCCGCACTGTCCCGAGTGCGCCACGGGCTTGGCCCATGCTTTTTACTTAAAAATACATCATGGTCATTGTTGGAAGAAGTTAAAAATAATATCTGCCAACCCAGAAATTCCCCTTCACAAATGTAGAAAAGAAAGAAAACAGGTTTATTATTGAATAAGCATTGAACCAGACTGTAGTACACATTGCAGGCAGCCCTCTAATGAGATTGCAAAGACAGAAATCTCACACTTTGGGCCGGCCCGTGGCTCACTTGGGAGAGTGCGGTGCTGATAACACCAAGGCCACGGGTTCGGATCCCACATAGGGATGGCCGGTTCGCTCACTGGCTGAGCGTGGTGCTGACAACACCAAGTCAAGGGTTGAGATCCCCTTACCGGTCATCTTTAAAAAAAAAAAAAAAAAAAAAAGAAATCTCACACTTTTAATAACCAAACATATACATGTTCTTAAGATAAACCATAACTTGTTCTCATAAGAAAGGATTTGACAGCACCATTTGCAATCCGTTCTTTCTTAGTTCATTCTAAAGTCAACTGGTAATTGGGGTAGCTACCTGTTTTAGTTAATTGCCTTTATCCCCCCCCCCCCAAAATAAAACTTTTTGTATCTTTATGGAAAACAGGTGGGGTTACAGCTTGGCACAGTGTACATAGGCTAAATTCCCAAGCTGTCTTCCTTGATGTTTATTACATTTTAAAGAGATGGCTCCTAGGCCCTTAAGAAAAACATCCCTGGATTGTAATGGTAGCGAGAGGCCTGTTTAGCTTTTAAAATGATTTGCATACATATCAAAGGAACAGAGGAAGGATTTATAAACACAAGGTGTTTTTTGTTTTGGGGTTTTTTTTTTTAATGAAATGCTCTAAGGAAAGGAAGAGGGAAAAGGGTCTCTTACCCTTTTGGCAAGGGGAAAAATTCAGTCCTTCTTTCTTCCTTCCTCTTTTCCATCCCCCTTTTTTTCCTTCCTCCTTCCCCGCCTCTCTTCCTTCCTCCCCTTAATTCTTCCTCCCTCCTTCCGTTCTTCTCTTCCCTCCTTTTCTTTCCTTCCTTTCTTTTTCTCCTCCTTCCTTCCTCCCCACCCCCTTTTTTCTCTCTTTCTTCCAATGGTAGGTGCAAGAAGGAATAGACCAGGAACTGGCCCAAAACCTGGACCTGGTTGGGGGTAGGGGTGGGATCCTGAGAAACCAACTCAAGGAAATCAGTCTTTGATTCAGACTTGAAGTGAATACTCGGAAATATGCCTGTGGGCTTCCAGAGCAGTTAGGAGAGGCTGGACAGGTGCAGACTCCCAAGAGATTAGTGGGTGAAAACTTGTCCGAGAGCCTGTCAGACAGTGCCATTGACTGTAGGGCTTTTTGTGAGGATTTCTTCTGTAAGGGAAAGACCGCTATAAACAAAGGTAAATGGCAAGAGACAGATTGGGAGAGGATACCTGCATTGTATATAACAACTGATTATCATCCGGAGTATGTAAACTCCTGCCTTCCAGAAAAACTCTAAATGTCAGCCCAACAGAAAAAGTGGGCAAGGGATGTAAAGAAGCCATTCTCATAAAAGAAAATAGAACAGGAAAAATCAAAATAATACGAGAGACCAGTTTATTGTCTACTAAAGTGAATTAAATTTTCTCTGTTCCCTTTTTTCCTCTCTAAGATTTTGAGGATCTACAATTCTACTTCTGATCTACTAGGAGTTAACTTTTTTTTAATGAACTATTTAAATCAGTGCTTTTCCATTAATGTCAAGAATATATCAGATGAAATGACAGCCCACAAAATGAGAGAAAATATTTGGAAATCATATATCTGATAAAAATCTAATGCCCAGAATATGTACCTCTTAAAACTCAACAATAAAAAGACAAATAACCCAAATAAGACATGAGTAAAGGACCTAAATAGACATAGCTCCAAAGAAGAAAAACAAATAGCCAATAAGCACATGAAAAGATGCTCAACATGGTATGTTATTAGAGAAATGCAAGTCAAAACCACAGTGAGGTACGATTTCACACCCACTGAAATGGCAATAATCAAAAAGACAGATAATAACAAGTGTGGACAAGGATGTGGAGAAATTGGAACCCTCATACATTGCTGGTAGGATTGTTAAATGGTGTAGCTACTTTGGAAATCAGTTTGGCACTTCCTCAAAAAATTAAACATAGAGTTATCATATGGCCCGGCAATTCCTCTCCTAGGAACATACACAAGAGAACTAAAAACACGTCACCCAAAGACGTGTATGTGAGTGCTCATAACAGAATTATTCATAAGCATAAGTGAAAAGAACTCAGGTATCTGTCAGCTTGTGAATGGATAAACAAAATGTGGTACATTCAATGTGGTATATTCATTGTTTGGCAATAAAAATGAATGAAGTACTGACATTCTACAAAATGGGTAACCTTCAAAAACATGCTATGTAAAAGAAGCCAAGTGCAAAAGATTACATATTGTGTGGTCCTCTTTATATGAAATGTTCAGAAAAGGCAAATATATAGAGACAGAAAGTAGATGATTAGTGGTTTCCTGGGGCTGGGAGTGGAAATGAGGACTAAACAGCATCAAGTTTTCCAAAGTAGCTGCACCATATTATGTTCTCACCAACAGTGTATGAAGGTTCAGATTTCTCCACATCCTCACCAACACTTGTTATTGTCTTTATTACAGATATTCTAGTGGATGAGAAATTGATCTCATTGTGGTTTTTTTCGTTTTTGTTTTTTGGCAGCTGGCCAGTACAGGGATCAAACCCTGGGCCATGGTGTTATCAGTACCACACTGTAACCAACTGATCTAAGAAGCCAGCCCCTTGTATTATGGTTTTGATTTGCATCTCCCTGATGACTAATGAAGTTGATCATCTTGTTAGCCATTTGTATATTTTCTTGGGAGAAATGTCTTCAAATTCTTTGCTCATTTTTAAATTGTGAATTTCTTGGGATTTTCTACATAACGAGATCATGTCATCTGTTAATAAAGACAGTTTTACTTATTCCTTTCCAATCTGGATACCTTTTTTTTTTTTTTTTAGGGCTAGTTGCTCTGGCTAGACACTCCAGTATAATGTTGAATGAAAGTGGTTGAAAGTGGACATCATTGTCTTGTTCCTTTTCTTAGGGGAAAAGAATTCAGTCTTTCTCTATTAAATATGACATTGGTTTAGCTTTTTCAGACATGCCCTTTGTCAGGTTGAGAAGTTACCTTCTATTAATAGTTTTTTGATCATGAATGGGTACTGGATCTTGTCAAGTGCTTTCTTATTGTCTATTGAGATGATCTTGTAGTTTTGTTCTTTATTCTGTTAACACTATATATTACATTAATTGATTTAAGGATGTTAAAACAAGCTGGCATTCTTTGGACAAAGCCCATTTGGTCATGATGTATAATCCTTTTTAATGCATTGTTGGATTCGACTTACCTAGTTGGGGATTTTGTGTCTGTATTCCTGAGGGATATAGATTTGTAGTTTTCTTTTTCTTGTGTTGACTGTCTGGCTTTGGTTCCTGGTAGTACTGGCCTCGTAGAATGAGTTGGGACGTATTCCTCCCTTCCCTAAGTACTGGAAGAGTTTGTAAAGGATTAGCATTAAGTCTTCTTTAAATGCTGATAGAATTCATCAGTAAAGCGATCTGGGCCTGGGCATTTCTTTGTGGGAACATTTTTAAAAATTCAATCTGTTTGCCTGTTATAGATTGATTCACATTTTCTGTTTCTGTTTAGCCAGTTTTGGTAATCTGGGTTTTTCTAGGAATTTGTATAATTCATCTGAGTTATCAAATTTGTTGGCATATAGATCAGAGTACTTTCTTGCAGATAACTTTTTATCCTTATGTATTTTCCTGTTTAATCTATTGAGAATTTTTTGTTTTGTCTCTAATCTGGTTTTATTTCTCCTTTTATATTTTGTAAGCGCTCTAACTATTGTGCGTGTTTTTTGCAGAACTTGCTTTCTTATTTTGTGGATGCAATAATTCAGCCCTCTTTGAATATGCTAAAATTAGTATTTTTCATTCTGTTTCTTGCATTAACCATTCTTTCAGGATTAGCTCTGCATGTTTATCCTGATGGTACTTGTAGTTTAAGAATTTTCTTATACTGGTGAATCTTCAAGTTTGATTTGTATTTATAACAGATGTATTGGCCAGTGTTTGGGTATACTGAGCTGTTGTGAAAGTGTGGTCTGATATCCTAAGGGAGAAGCACCAGCCTCAGGACTCCCCAGTTGTGATCTGCTTTGGCTGTTGAATGATTTGCACTCTTCCCTCATAGGAGGAAGAAAGGAACCGGGGACCCAGATGCCCAGATGCATTTGACATGTTCACGGTTGTGCCAAGTGCCTCTTCCCCTTGGATTAGTTATGGCAACCTAAAGATAGCTAGTGCGTTGCCCTGATTTTACTTTCTGACCCTAACCTCCCTTCCCCTGCCTCTCATACCCTACCCACCCCACCCAGAACTGTCCTTTCCCACTGCAGCCCCTAGACAGATGCCTCAGCCAGCTGGTGAGTAGGCACAGAGCAGGTTGTGTGCCACTTCCTGGAATCTGTCACTCTCCTGAGGCCTGCTCTGGCTCCCTGTCTCTGCTGGATTTTTCAGGTGTCAATTGATGAAGTACATCTAGTCACTTTGGCAGTTCCTTCCTTCTACATTAGGATACAGATGTCCCATTTTTCTGTTAGGTTCGACCCCATCAGCTTTTTAATTTCTAGAAATTGTTGAACACTTCAAAAGTATCTTTCAGTACTTCTGATAGTACCTTTTCCACTTATCCCACACTCTTGTTGATTTATGCTTGTTTTTACATTTCTTCTGAAGTTTCTATGGGATTTTGAAGGTGGAGAGAGAGAAGCGTTTCTCAGTCTTTTTATCTTGAACCAGAATACAAATTTTGGGGGTAAATGATTTTATTATTACATTTTGTATGTGTATTGTACTTTACCCTTTGCTGCATACAGTTGCTCATCAAACAGAAACAAAGTACATATGCCATACATCTTAAGTAATTTTGGTGCAGTTATTTTAAGTTTTACAGTTGTAGTCTGTATTAAACAACTCAAATACCTACAGGGATGGGGTAGATAACAGGTGGACAAACACTGATGCAAGGCTATGGAAAGTTGCCAAGATGGTGGAAAACCACATCACATTGATCAACCAAGACAAAGATTCTGCTTATGGTGGTGCAGGTTGTGCACTACATGAATGGCATTCCCCACCCCTACCTCCCCCTGCCCCCCGTGAGTTCTGCAGTGCACAGCCTGCATGGCTGTCCTGAGCAGTCCTAATAATCCCACTTCTGGAAATATTTATATATACAGATAGTTATTTTTCTAATAATGAAAAATTTAAAGCAAACTATTAGTATGTAGAGGAATGGTTAAATAACTTATGATTCATAGAAATCACTCTGCCATTTAAAGTTTTGTTTATGATAAATGAAATAATGTGGTAAAATAATTGTGATTTAAGTTAAGAAATCAAAATTGAGTATTAATATGAATGCAGCTCTGTAAAGCTGTATAGAAAAATACTGGAAAGAAAGATACCAAATATGAACAGTGGTCTCTAGGTGGTGAAATTGTATATGATTTTCCCCTCATTCTTATGTTTTTCAAATATACTATCATGAGCATAGATGGTTTTTTTATAGCAAATAAAAACAAAACTTACTTTTTAATATTGCTATGGACTTTCACCTTGCTGAGATGTATTTCTGATTTTCCTGGATTAGCTCTTTTTTGATATTTTGATCTTATTTCTTGAACTAGTTTTTAGAGGGCCAATTGAGATGATATTACATTTAGATGTCAAACTTACTCCAGTCAGTTCTGCCATGGGACAAGCTGCTTGAAATTCTTTTTCTTTCAGCTTGCCAGTGCAATGGCCACAGCAAATGCATCAATCAGAGTATCTGTGAGAAGTGTGAGAACCTGACCACAGGCAAGCACTGCGAGACCTGCATATCCGGCTTCTATGGTGATCCCACCAACGGAGGGAAATGTCAGCGTAAGTCAAATTGGCCAGGTTTACTGATTGCAAATAAGGTGGACACAATACTTCTATTTGACATAAATATCCAGGAGGGAAAAAGCCACTTTGTTTTGGATACTACATTTCTTATTAAGTCATACTTGTCATGAGTGCTGCTGGGCTGGCAGGGAGAGCTGAACAGTGAGGTGTCGGAGTAGCCAGTTAAAGCAGCAAGCCAAAATGAAAGAGTTAAGCCTTTAATCACATTTTGCCATAGGATAACAAGGGAACAGTGTGCTGTCTCTGGTCCGGTGGATATGAGAGACATAGGATCGTCTAATTGTGGACGAATTCTGAACTAAAGGTTCTGACAGTGAGAGTGTTATGGACCTGGAGGTCGTGGGGAGAGTGAAGGGTGGAACGTCCTGGGTCCTGAGTCAGAGTGGGAAAAGTGTCTTCAGGGTCTCCCCTCTTCCCCCCATAAGGAGGCCTCAGCAGAGACACCTGAAGAAGACCTCAGCCTAAAGCCTCAAATAAAGACACCCAAGCATGAAGGTGCCGGGCTAGGCAAGCATATTATATGAAGAACATGACTTGCTTGGGTGCCAGAGACTTTTACTGCAACTCCCTAAGAGACTGCAGGCACTTACCATGTAGAAGGCTGCTGCAGGGAGGGCAGCTTTCCCCCTGCAGCCTGCCAGGCAAAGCCCTTGTAATTGCCTAAGTTCAGGCTCGAAAAATCACACATAGGTTTTTAACCAGGAGACAGACTCCTTAATACTTCTAGTATATTTTTTTTTTCCTTTTTGTCTTTTTTCGTGTCCGGCAACGGACTGCAACCCTCAGTGTCGCGCCCGTACCGGACCGGGACCGGCAACGGGATCACAACCCTCGGTGCTGCGCCCGCCCCTCGCTCAGCCAGTGAGCGGGAACCGGTCTGTATGTGGGATCCGAACCCTCGGCGGGAGCGCCGCCGCACTCCCAAGCGGCGCACTGTAGCAGTGCGCCACTGGGCCGGCCCTACTTCTAGTATATTTTAATGATTTAAATAGTCCCATGTTTACCCATGCATGTCAAATAGAAGTCTGCAAACAATAGGGCATTTTACTGTTAGAACATAAATCATATTTTTATAAATGACCTACACCAATGAACTGATTTTTGATTTGTTCTAGTTTCCAACTGAAAAATATAATGAGTCCTCTAGTTGAAAGACCTTCCAAGTTCTGAGCAGGAAAAATAAGAAAGGAAATCTCTACCTACTTCCCAGATCCTGCCTCCAAACTCCTTAACATGGCCCTTCAGAATCTGATCCCAGACCAGCCAAGAGAGAGGTAGCATTCTAGCTATATGTCCCTTAACCTCTCTGGGGTTCAGTTTCCTCATCTGTAAAATGAGGATAGGGTGGTTGTTGAGGTTAAAGCAGTCAGAGCAATACATGACTTACAGTCAACCCTCAGTAGATATGAGCAATTATTATTACCCTTCCAATGTCATTTCCCGTTACTCTTAAATAAAATTTCTTGCTTGGATTAAAGGGTATTCAGTAAACATATTTTTCCCACTCCTTATGAATAGACTCCATCCATTGGATATTAATCAGAGTACCTAACATTTTTGTGTGTAAATGTGTTTTTGAGTGTAAAGGCATTGTGCTGACAGCCACTTAAGACATAGGCACTTTTATTCCCAAGATCAAGTAACCTGCCCAAGGTCTCAGCAAGATGTGGCCCAGCTGGGAACCACATGCAATACATGCTGACCTTAACTACTGGTTGTACCTCCAGGTGCCATCATCCCCATATCTGCAGCTACCATCTAGAAAAATTGGATTTTCCTCTGTGACATTATAAATGCCCCTACCTGGGTGGGCCTGAGTATGATTGTCCAGAACTTAGAGCTTGCTTTATTTTTCAGAGTCCCAATCCACAATAGAAAGCATGGTTTTTAAATACTGTGAGTGGTACCAAATCTTTAATGTTTTCCTCTTACAATTGTATAGTCCTTAGCTAAGGATAATAGCCACGACTTACTGACTGCATACTGTGTTTTTTTAATCATACACCTGTCATTCAATCTTCACAGCAGACCTATGTATCCCCATCAAATTATGGACAAGGAAACTGAAACTTAGAAAGATTAAGTAGCATGCCTAAGGTTAAGAGCTAAAGAAGAGCTAAGTGGAGGACACTCAATTCAAACACAGGCAAACTGACTTCAGGCCTTTACTTTTCACTGTTACACTGCATCCCCCACTCTGCCCTCATCAGAGCCAAGAGTTGAACACTCATGTTTCTGACTGCAGCGTCCATTCTGTCCATTTCTGCACTATTCTGTTTTACAGGTTTCTTTGGGTAATTTTTTTTCTCCACAGAATTTATTTTTAAAAGTGCACTTCTCTTTAGCCTAATGCCTTTGATTTAGTCACAGAAAAACAGAGTGTAAAGAGAGAGGGTATTGAGGAAAAAGACTTTCATTTATTTCAACTGGAACATAGAATTTATGATAGCTTGTACTGGTGTGTTGCATAAGAAAAGGTAGAGATGGGGGCTGGCTGGTTAGCTCAGTTGGTTAGAGTGTGGCACTGATAACACCAAGGTGCAGGGTTCAGTCCCTTTACTGGCCAGCCTCCAAAAACAGAAAAAAAGAAAGAAATGTGCTGAGATGGCCAGAGGAAGGAGATGGGAAGAGTTGTTTTCCTCAAAGGGGGAAGAGAAGGCAGGTCCTGAAGGGCCTCTGACATGCCGATCTTGCCATTAGAATCCCACTCCATTTCTGAGCCTTGGTGTGATTCAAAATGTGGCCATTGTGGAGAAGGCCCCTCAGCTGAGGCAGAGGGCACCCAGACCAGCCCCCACCCCCAGAGGGAAGTCGTCACTCAGAGCATCTCCACATGGGCAGGGACTGTCTGGGTCACCACACCCAGCACCTAGCATGCTAAAGATGTTTCATAAATATTTATTGAATGATTGAAAGAATTGTAATAGTGAAAAAGGGAGTCTGTTGAAGGATCAAAATAGGATGACAGTAGGAACCAGCACTCTCTTTCCTCCTATCCTCTGACTTTGGTTCCTTTAGCGTTGCCTTTACATTATTGGAGAGAAATCATTAGCTGAGAAATCATGACTCTTACCCATTAAATGCTCTGATTTTCATCTGTCTTTTCTATCGAACCCAATTCAGATAAAATTATTTGTTTGGGGAAAGTCTCTGTTAGTAGTAATCTTTTAAGCCAGATGTGACCTCCATTTCTTTTCCTTCTCCCCAGCATGCAAGTGCAATGGGCATGCATCGCTGTGCAACACCAACACGGGCAAGTGCTTCTGCACCACCAAGGGTGTCAAGGGGGACGAGTGCCAGCTGTGAGTACCATACTCCCTGCTCCACCAGGGATGGCCAGGGATCATGAAGCTGCCTCAGCCTTTCCCCAGGAGCCACCCACTTCCCTGTACTGGTTGCCATGTACTCTTAGGGGTCCCTGGAGTGACTACTTTGAAATGTTGTGCTTTTTATTTAAGACAGGTCAACCCCCAAACTGAGGAGGTCATCAGCTTAGCAGCCATTTCTTAATGGCTCTTTAATTCACATTTTTATGTTAGAGTGGTATGGACATTTTGTGGGTTGGTAATTTGGATTAGTTGTTTTAACTTCAGCAACGACTCAATTTTTGTCATGTCAGGAGAGTACACTCTCCTCCAAAGGATAGAGTTGGAAGAACTGGTGTTCTAGTGGCACTATTATTTGGTGTTTTGGTTGTCAGATAGTGGAGATGCCTTTAACACATCCCTCTCTGCTCTAGCATTTTCTTTGGTGAAAGAAATCTTCTGGGGGAGGGTTTGGAGTCCCCACCCATGAGGATGCAGACTCAGCACCAGGCAGACTTGGGATTTCAGACTTGGCTCTGCCTCCACTGGGCTCTTAAGGCAAATCACTGAACTGTGCCAAGCCGCATTTTCCTTTCTATCAATAGAGGGATTGACAGTAATTGTTTTAATGTCCTGGTGAGTTGAAATCAGAGATTGTTCCCCAATTAGCATGCACATCTGCTTCACTGGAAAACCTCATAAAACACATGCATCCAGGTTTACTTATTCTCTTAAGAAGATACTTAAGAGGGAAATGTTTAGTATCAAAACAGTGAAGTTGATACAAGCAGACACATCATTGGTAAACTTTGTTTTTCTTAAAGAATAGAAGTAATAATGCCACCAGTGATTAAGACATTGATTGATAGTGGTATTCAGCAGAGAATTGGTCTGTCTACATTTTATGGTTTATATCAACGTATATGTTTACTAGTTTCATGCTGCCCTAATGCCAATACATGAAGAAAATTCTAATCAAAGATTAAATTTAACTTTTGGATCCAAGGTTCCTTTAAAAAGAAAAATCAATGGAGCAAAATTAATCACTCTTGCCCTCAGTTAGGGGATACAACAAAGATATGAGGTGTAAGACTTTCAAGTCCGTTCAAGAGATTATAGATATAAGCGAGTGCTAATAATCACCTGGATGAAAGGACATAATATCCCTGTCTTACCTTACCTGGGGAAAGTGCTTCACCCAAGCCTTTTCCTCCTTTCCTCATAGTTCATAGCTGTTGTGCTTGCCTAAATGGCTTGTGAAGTGGGAAATGGTTTTGCTGATGCTTATAGATGACATCTATGGGGAAATTAATAATTCTTTTTGAGTGGAACTTCCCTCCCTCCCCCCAGACTGGTGAACACTTGTTCAGGGTTTTTCAGAAAAAAGTGATTCTCGGTATTTAATCTTCTCTGATTTCTGTTTAAAGAACAGGATCACTTTATCCGGGGGGAATAGGAAAAAGTGAGAAATGAATATTTGAAAAATGTTTTAACTGCACTTTTAGAAGAATATGTAGTCCACACAAAAGTGAAAATGTGTTTTTCATTATAATAAATAGGGTCTAGATTTATTACATTCGGATTTATCTCATGTGCCTTGGCAAATGTTTATCAACTGTTTTCATATAGTTGGTGGTGTGAACTGAAGGTCAATCAACTTTGAAAATTCATGCATATTCTCGTTAGTACACATGATCTGAGTAATGATGAAAAATGTCATTATAGTAACCCAAAAACCGTTTGTATTTTATGTAAAAGAATCTGCTTGATTTAAAAATGAATATAGATTTCATTTTAAATAACAGTAGAAAATAATCTTCATTTTTTCCCCCTAGATGTGAGGTAGAAAATCGATACCAGGGAAACCCTCTCAAAGGGACATGTTATTGTAAGTGTTTTTGTAATTCTTATTTTTAGAAACAAAGTAATTCAGTAAAACTTCATTGTTCTCTTTAACATGGTTTGAGAATGGTAAGTGTTAAAGGACTATAGCAACCACCCATGGAAGTGTTCTCTGACTTGATATGATTACATTCTAATAAATTTACTACGTTTATGGACGTTGTTGTAAGCTATTTTAATTGTGGTCATGTTTAAGTTAGTGTGTCCATAGCAGATAGAGGAGAGAGTACAGAGATACGCATCTCTGGCTTTTCTTGTTTGTGTTCTCTTGAAAACTTACTTCATTTTGCCGTTACTTGGTTGGGGTCATCATATTTTGAATTTCAGGATATAGATCAAAAACAGAATTCTAAAAATAGTTAAAGTTTTATCATTCTTTCTGGAACTGATTTGTGTTAACCACCTCTTTAGGAACTAATATATAAAATAAAATAATGATTACCTGAGAGTGAAAGGTGAATTTGGCAAGGTGACCAGGTTTTTATGGATAAGTGCTTTTTCTCCTATAGGGGAATCCACATGGTAGAGTAGATTATGGAACCAGAGAGAAAGGAGTTAATGTTATGGCATATCCACTGTAATTATATACCTGCTGTACTGGATTGAATAGCATCCCCTCAGAATTTATTTCCACCTGGAACCTTGTGAATGTGGCCTTATATATATAAAATTTCTAAAAGAAAACGGGAGAAAAACTTCTTTACATTGGGTAGGGAAAAGAGTTCTTAGACATGATTCTAAAAGCACAATTTATAAAAGAAAAAATGGATTGATGAGACTTAATCAAAATTTAAAACTTTTATTTTCAAAAAACACTGTTTAAAAATAAAAAAACAAGCCATAGACTATAGAAAATATTTGCAAATTACTTTTTTTTTTTTTTTTTTTTTTTTT